TTGAGTAGGTTATTCTCTCAGCTTCTCCGTCTGCCTCTGGTGAGTCAAGAATCTTTTTTCTCTTTTGCCTCTTCTTTGAAGGGGGCGGTCTAATCCTTCCCAAGGAGCCTGAGGAGGTAGATCCTCTCCTCGTTCTCGATCCTGAGTCCACGGAGACAATTTCCACATCTCCATCTCTTGGCGTCATGGGCCTATACTGTTCCTCCATTTGGAAAGTGGGCACGAATTCTACCTCCATTCTACCTCTGTGGTCCTTTGTCCGCTTTTGCCTTCCTAGACCTAGTCACAGGAGTCTCGGACAGTGCCTCCTCGTAATATTCAGCCGATGTGGGTGAGGAGGGTAAATCACTCCCGCTACCCTGCCGAAGTCCAAGCATTTCCCCATCTAGTTGGATTCTTTTAACGCTGACTATAGCAGGCTTGAGCAAGGGCCTCGTCATAGCCCCTGCCCCACTCCCAGCACTTGTTGTCGACACGGGGGGAGAGGGACAAGATTCCCCCGCGCGCCGTTCCCCAGGGCTCCGATTTTCTGGAGGGGTTTTGTCCTTTTTCATTGTCCTATCCATATTGTTTATTTAGTTGTTTGGAAAACCGCTGAAGCTTGATAATTCATTATAAGCTCTTTCTCCGCAGAAACAGTATTGTACGCTCGCAAAGGGGCGCAACACTGCAGTGGAAAGATGCCTATATACGGTACTTACCGTCACCACACTTTAGCTTTGCAAACACCAGAGGCCGGAGGAGGAGTATAACTCACTCGACTCAACAATTCCCTGGTATGGGAGAGCCTACACACTATAATATAAGGCGCACTCGCGACCCAAACTCGGCTTAATATTAAATTAGTTCCCTAAGATTAACTTAACATTAACTTAATAACTATATCAGCTAATACGTCTACCTAATACTAATAATAATGATGATTTTAACGCTGTATAGTTTAACACTAATCTTTAACACTAGAACTAACAACAAACGTTATACCGAACTCATTAACTAATCAAACAAAATAACTATTAACCAATAATAATAATAATGATAACTCTATATACAGCTAACTAATCACCTTCAACAACATTATATATCATCTCTATTTTAGATCCGGCGGTAACTCTGTTGGTGCTCTCGTGGGTATCCAACCATCTTCATATCGTCCGTATTTATGTTCTATACCAGGTATTCATAGGGACTCGAAAAGAACTTTAATTAATAGCACCCTTCTACTGTAGCCCGAATCTGGCAGGTAAGTTACCTTGATATAACAATAGTAGTAATAATATTAACACTTTGTTCTAGATTGGCTTGCCGCCGATCCCCATCAACAATTACGAGCACTCAACAACCCCAGCTACTCAACTGTAGTTTTATTGTATTTAATACTTCACGGCGCAATCTCATAAAAATTCAATTTTAGGTACGTTACTTTCCTCTCATATATACGCGCTATCAATGTCCGCCGCAGCCCAGACAGTAGCCCGCCTTTACCACCGTCAGTCATCGATTGTGACCGCATATAATCGACGACCAGATCATTTGACAGGGAATTTATTTCTTTCCTGCATTTATGCACGTAACCCGCCAATCACGTTCTATATTGTAATTCCATCTAAGTTCAGCTCCAAATACGTCGCCAACCTCTCTCATGAGCTCACAGTCAATGCCTAACGCGGTCCGAACAAAGATTCTGTATTCGAGGTTCTGTATCTAGGTTTCATGGAAATCCGGCTTTATGTATGTCGCCCGCCCCTCATGCATACGTACAGTCACGTTCGACGCGATCCGAGTGATCAATACGGGTAATACAAACTCAGTTTAGATATTGAGTACTCTATGACAGCATGAAATATAAGATAATTTTATATCTTAGGTGCAAAGCAATGCAAAGCAAAGCCATGCCCAAACCTTCTCGGTGTCAGGTACTCTCATGTTGCCGCGGCCAGGCGAGTCGGGGTCTTAACTGTACTTGCCCCCCGCAGGTTTCGGCTATGCTCCGCCCGACGCTTATGTACTATGGTTTTACAAGACAAGGACGGAGGAGAGAGACAGACAATCTAAAGTCCAGAGTCACGCACACGGGCCTCTTTTACGGGCCGTGAGCGCTCACACAATTTAATAGAATCAATAAGAGATCCCCGTGAGACGCCAGCAGTCGGTCCCCTCTCACCCAGGGCCAGGCACAAGGGGATCCTAACCCCACCTGTCAGTCTGGTTTTCCGCTCAAGCCCAGGGAAAGCGCCCTGAAATAAATTCACAGAGCACAAAACAGAGGAGGAAAAAGCAGCACTTCCGCGTTCCGCAAAGCCCTGCTCCACGTCAGATCAGCACCGGAGCAGGATTTGCAATCACCTGCCACAGCACGTGGCACTCACGCAAGTGCACCCTCCCGCACGTCTACACCTGAGGGTAGGGATGGGCGATACAGTATCGATATTTTGAATATCGATACTTTTAAACTTTTTTATCAATATTTTGTATCGATATTTTATCTTTTGATATTTTCATGTATCGATATTTGAACAAGAATATTGAACTTCCGATACAGTCCGTAAATTTGCATAGCTGCATAACCATATGCATATAGAAAATTATCGAATCGCATTTCTATTATAAAGATGCATAAAATGTGATTGGATAATTGTCTTATGCATATGGTTATGCAAGTTTGTATGGATTCTATGGATAAGCACTAAGCAACCTACTAATGATTCCTACACACAAGATGCGGCAACATATATATGTGTGACCTAAGAAGCAGCAACCAATAAGCTTAAAGCCTAAGAACCTAAGAACAAAACGATACGTTGATTGGCTACACGTCACGTCTTCCCGCGCGGCAAATTCATTCCGTCTGTGATGTACATACAGATGTAGACTGTCTATGTATAGAAATCATAAATAAATAAGATAATATTGAACGATAGTATAACGGTTATATTATTTACTGTCATCAAGTCTAAACGCATATTTTCAATTAACCCTTCTCTCTATAATCAAAAATTCCACTTAATTTCAATAACCGGGGTACCCAAGTACCCACGCAGAGATTTTCTATTCGAATGTAGAAAAGGTTCCCTAGACCGGTTTTCGATCCTTCGGTCTAGCTTCCCGCGTCTTCGAACAATAGTGCACAGTGTGTGGCAGCTGTTTTGACCTCCCCATCCCTTCTCTTGTGCGTAGAAACAAGTTTGAACGTGTGTAGCTCAGTTTCAAAACGTCCGTTGTGTCGAGAACGTCTAGTTGTGCAACAGCAATATATATTTAGTGTACCGTATACAATTAATATTTAGTGTACTGTGCAGTATATAAAAAATATGGAGGTTCTATCTGATAGCATCAATTATTCAGACAGCGAAGATGACGATTGGTTCCCGAAGGCCACCAAACAGTCAGCAATAAATGAAGAAATTTCAGATGTTGATTGCAATGGTATGCTTAGGAATTCTGCTGTTAAATTTTTAATAAATTATTTTTATATGATATTGTAAATAAAGAATTTATGTATTTTTAGTTGAAAATAGAGAGAGCGAGATAGAGGAAGAAGAAGAAAGCAGCAGTGACAGCAATAACGAAAGTCAAGTCGAATCGTCATCGTCCGCGAACACTTTTGTCACTAAAGATGGAACTGTGTGGAATAAATTACCACCTGCTCATCACCAGACTCCATTGCACAACATTGTTCGTCAAAGAAGTGGCGCACACTGATTAACAGAAACAATGTCTGTTTATGACACATTTAAATGTATATTGTCTAATGAAATGATTGACATTGTTCTAAGACACACGAATAAGAAGGCAAGAAAAGTTTATGAGGCGTATAATACCAATCATCCTTCAAAAAAACAACGTAAATGGATTGATATTACTGAACGCAAGTTTGATGCATTCTTGGGACTTTTTATAACTTCTGGTGTAAATCAATCAAATGCACAAAATACAATGCATATGTGGAAGACGACCTCATATCCATTATATCGTGCAAGCATGGGTATAAATCGATTTTGGAACATCTTGCGATTTATTCGTTTTGATGACGCAAATACACGACAAGAACGTCAGCAAATCGATAAAGCAGTACCCATACGTGATATATGGGCAATGCTCAATTCAAACTTGCAAAAATACTACAAGCCAACTGAAAATTTAACAGTAAACGAACAATTATTTCCATATCGCGGTCGGACTAAATTCACGCAATATATTCCATCAAAACCTGCCAAATATAGAACAAAAATTTGGTGGATATGCGATGCTGAAAATTATTATCCACTCACTGGACAGATTTATATGGGGAAATCATCCACACGTCGAGAAATAAATCAAGGCGAAAGAGTAGTGAAAGACTTGGTCGCTCCATACAAAGGATCCGGACAAAACATTACAACGAACAATTTTTTTACAACTCTGCCACTGGCAAAACATCTGCTGTCATGGAATTTAACGCTAGTAGGGACCTTGAAAAAAAATAAACCTTATATTCCTCGAGAAATGGCACCATCTAACTCACGTGAAGTACTTTCCACAATATACGGATTTCAAAACAACGTAACAATTTGTTCCTACGTTCCGAAAAAGAAAAAATCAGTTATTTTACTATCAACAATGCATCACGACATCGCAACTTCTGGAGAAAAAAACAAACCTGAGATTGTACATTTTTATAACAAAACAAAATCTGGCGTAGATGTAATGGATAAATTACTTGGAGAATATTCAACACACAGAAAAACAAATAGATGGCCTCTTGCATTGTTTTATAATATACTGGATATTGCTGCTCTTGCTGCCTACCTCATTTATATGGCAAATAATGAAATGATAAAAAAAAATGATGCACGCAGCACATTTTTGCGTCAATTGGGAAAAGAATTATGTCTTCCAATAATTCAAGATCGATCGCAAAACATGCAAATAATGAGACACTTTGCCACGAGATCAGGCATCGAATGCATGTTACAAAAACCTGTAAATGTTATCGACGAAACTACTTTGCCTTCCACATCTACAAATGCAGTAAGGGACTCGACAGGAAGAAAGAAAGTTATTGGTGCCTGCTATATATGTAGCAGCAAAGAAATTCGAAAACGCAGAAAAACTAGAAAAGCTTGTGTTGACTGCAATAAACCGGTTTGTGACGAACATTGTCAAAATATAACTAAATGTATGATTTGCTTCGAAAATAATTAAAAATTCAGAAATATTTTGTTTAAATAAAGTACTTTTATTATTTCTAGCATATTTATAAATTAATTATATTTTATCATCCAAATATACCATAGGACATTCTCCCTTTTACAGTTTTTTAATATAAAATGTATGGGTACCCGGGTACCCCGGTTATTGAAATCGTGTGGTTAACTTTAACGACTAGAAAATTAATATTTTTTCATGACAAGTTTTTAAACAACTAGCTAAATTTACGTGAAATTGTCTAAATAATGGGGAACCGGAGCCGTTTGGCGCTATTTTGAGTGAAAGTCATTGATATTAAGACAAAAAGTACGAAATGGATACCCGGGTACCCGGTTATAGAAAGAAGAGTTAAGAAGATTTATCAAGAAGAAAGGCATCATATATTATTCAATCTTAAGACAAGGTTGATGGCGTTGGTGCCGTTGATGGTGGTGCTATATATAAAAAAGAAGAGGATGAAGGCAGAAATGAGGATTGAGGAAACATATGTGTATACCGCCGTGCGTATAAACTATAAATTCGTTCATTTTCTCACGTAAAAAAAAATCTGCAGTTCTACAGTGTACGGTGTGTAATGTTATACTGTGCACACTTGACTACATATGATACACGACAAGCAATTGCAATAATTGCACGGATTTAATTAAACAAAAAGGTACATACTTTTTTATTTATATATACATACATCGTAAATAACCTCAATACGTTAATACTGAACGGTTATTGTTCGTCAAAAGAAATCGTCTAAAACGCATATTTTTTTATTAGGAAGGTCGTTAAGAAAAGAGGTATCATATAACTTCGAGGAGAGGTTGCTATATAAAATTGATGAAGAGAAAGCACGTGTACCGTCGTGCGCAGTACACACGTGCTTTCTTGCGTAAGAAGAAGGAAACAATAACAATTTTGCACACAGTTGCACTGTGCATACTACGGTCAATGGAAGACAATTACATAAATTAAAAACAAAAAGGTATATACTTTGTATTTAATTATTAAATAATATTTTATAAATGTGTTTAAATGATTCTCACTTCTTTTGGAATGGATTTCTATGGCTAAAATTGGATTGGTCAATTTTTTTGCATTTTGTATTGTATTATTTGTAATTCAGTGTATAGTACGTGATTACTATTTGGTAATATTTTTCTAAATTTTATAGAGGTTATGCGTGTATTTATATAATATTGCATGATATATTCAGTTGAAAAAGGAAATTAGGGAGAAAAATCGAAGCCTTCTTACATTTTCCACTGCTACTCTACTCGCTTCATGCTCTTATTCTATAACAGTACTTATCTCGCATTATCTTATTTGCATGCATTAATTTAACATTATTCTTTGTCATTTAAATGTACTTCTTAAATCAATTTTTTCTATGTACAGTGCCGCCGTCCAAAAGTAATTGTTGGAAATATTTTATTTGAACCAGTGAAGATGGCAGATGTAACATTTGTCAACAGATTATAAAAACTTCAGGAAATACAACGAATTTACGTTTTCATCTAAACCGAGCACATCCAAAGGTACAGTTTCAGATGAAGAGGAACAAAAATGATAAAAAAGTATAATTACTTTTTATATAAAAAATTAATTAAATTATATTTATTATAAAATAATGTAAATAAATATTTTAGCCACAAGATGAAACTGATATGGATATTGTGGATGATGATTCTAATGTAATGGCGAAATCTTCTGAGACTCCTGATTCTCCTGGTTCTCCAGCTTTATCAACTTTATCAAGCATATCAAATCAATCAGAGGCATCAGTTGTATCATTACCAATTGTAAAAAGAAAACAAGTTACTCTTGATGTTACTTTCCAAAATCAAAAATCATTTTATGGTATGCATATAAATTTTAAATAAAAATCTACCTTTGAAAGTAATTTATTAAATATTTAAGAGTAAACTACAATATTTATTTTATTTTGTTTTTTTCTTAATTTTAGATGGAGGATCAAAAACCGCTGAGTTTACCAATAATCTCATTTTCATGATAGCTAAGGATAACTTACCAGTTTTGCGACAGTGGAAAAAGAAGGTTTTCAAACCTTCATGAAAATAGTTGCGCCGTTGTATAAAATTTCCAGTCGGAAAAAATTACAAGCTTGGTAGAAGAAAAGTATGAGTTTTTGTCAAGTATGATAAAAACTCAATTTTCAGACGTTAAAAATCTATGTTTAACAATCGACATTTGGACAGATACATTAAACACAAAGAGTTTTTTAGGTCTTACAGTTCATTATGTATAAAGTGAAACATAAATCTGTAACTATTGGTGTTAAAGAATTAAGTGACCGATATACTTCCGAAAATATCAAAATGTGGTTGTTAGACATAATACGTGATTGGAACATAAATATAGAAAGTATTATAATTGTTGTATCTGACAATGCGGCAAATATGAAAAAAGCAATAACAGAAGCGTTTGGTATTGACAAACATTTACCGTGTTTCGCACATACTTTAAATTTGATTTCATCCAGTATTATTAAAAATGACGCTACTGTTAGCGAATTTTGTCAAAAAATTAAAACTATCGTTACATATTTTAAACACTCTGTGGTTGCTGCAGATGAATTGCGAGCTCAGTCTACCCTCAAGTTAATACAAAGTTCTCGATGGAATTCGACTTATGATATGCTTGAACGATTTATTCAAGGTTGGGAAGTAACTCGTTACTTGTAACGAAGTTACAGTTACAGTTACTTTTTTCAATAACTGTAACTTAACTTCGTTACTTTCTTTCCATGTGTAACTGTAACTTAACTTAGTTAGATTTTTTAAGTAACTAGTAACTAATTTAATAGTTACTTTTACAGTTACTTTATATATGTCAAATCGTCACTTTCATGGATCAAAATTATGCAACTCTTTCGCTCAATCACCTAATCGTAATGTTGATTGTAATTATACGAAATATTTAAATGCTCATATTTAAATACGCGCATTACTTTTCTTTTTTAAATAAAATTATATAATATATAAATGTAAACTACTCTCTTTTTTATAATGTCACGTCTTTTTTTTTATAATGCTAATGTTGCTTTATTAAAAGTAACTGAAAAGTAACGATTCGTTACTTTTTGAGTAACTGTAACTGTAACATGTTACTTTTTGGAGTCGATAACTTGTAACGGTAACTAGTTACTTTTTGAGAAACAAAAACTGTAACTGTAACTAGTTATTTTTACAAAGTAACTTTCCCAACCTTGGATTTATCGAATTGTCAGATAAAATAAGTGGCATTCTTTCGCAACAACCTACAGCACCGATAATGTTGACTGCATTCGAATTGCAAGCTGTAAAAGAATTCGTTCAATTATTAAAACCGTTTGATGAAGCTACTAAAATTATATGTGGTGAACATTATATTACTGGTAGCAAAGTGATTCCGATTGTTAATATTCTAAAAAATAAATTAGATATATTTGTACCAAGTACTGAAATAGGTATTTACTTTAAACTTGAGATAGAACGTCAGTTCTCAAAAAGATTTAGTAATATTGAAAAAGTTCATCCATTGGCTATATCAACCATTTTAGATCCTCGATTTAAGAACATTCATTTTTCTGATAAAATTGCGTGCGCTTATTCAATTAATAAAATTACACAAACGATAAATACAAATTTGACAAGAGTACATGAAAGCGATCAAAATGCGCAACAAAATAATTCCACAGAAAGTAATAATTTTTGGACATTTCATGAATATTTAGCTAATCAATCCAAACATATGTCAAAAAATAATGATTTTACGATGGCGGATAAACTTAAATATTATTTAAATCAACCATTAATAAAAATGGACGATAATCCACTAAAATATTGGGTCCTGAATATGCATTCTGGATTAAAAAACATAGCATTAAAATATCTGAGTATAATTGCAACCTCCGTTCTAAGTGAACGATTATTTTCGCGGGAAATATTATCACCGAAAATAGAAACCGTCTAACAGGTGATCACTTAAGTCAAGTTGCTATTTTTAAATTCTCTGTCGGTTGAAGAGTGGTTATTGTAACGATGTATTGGTTTTTATTGTACCAGTAATTTTGCGCTTTCAACATCTCCTCGAAACTATGTGACATATAAGATGTGTATACTTGTTGAACAATTAACTACTAAACGCTCTCTTTTAATTTTATGAGTTTAAAACGACTTTAAATTCAAATCAATTCTGATTAATTTAATTTGTGTTTCACGAAAATGATATAAATATATATATATATACAGGGTGATTCAGAACAACCCTTCGTCCTTGAAAAGACGTATTCTTGACTCAATTCTAAGACAATTTTTTCTTTGCAAAAATTTTGTCCGAAGCTTAGTTTTTAAATTATAACGAGAAATAGTTAGCAAATTACGGGCCGCGTACAGAAGGTAGACAGTGGCGGCGCAACTTACTATCCGACGGCAGGCGGTATGCGGGACCGTCGCGACGATCAGCTGACTACACGCGCGCATAAACATGCGTTTACATTCTCTCTCTCTCTCTCTCTCTGGGCTGGTGGGTATACCTTGTGACGTGTTTCATGTCGCTCCGTATTTTGTGATCTCTCTCTGCCGCCCATTGCCCCTCGGGGTCTTCTTTTGCAGTGCATGGGTCTTTAAGCTATCCTGGCTTACTATTTTTTGTTCCTCTGGGCGCCTGGGCCTTCTTTTTCTGCGAGATTTTGACGCGGATTTCTTGGTGGATGCGCCGGAATTTTTGCATGAGACCTGTCTTTCCATGTTGGAGGCGCTAGCTGCGCATGCGCATGTGCTGTTGACTCAACGTTCCTGGCGCGTGATCTCGGCGTGGCCGTCGCTATGGTGGGGCGTCCTGCTACCTTACCTGCTGTGGAGCGTGGTGGTCGCCGCGGGAACGTGAACCGTGGAGGAAAGCCAGAGGGAAGATCTTTGCCTATTGTTCGGCCTGCTGGATCGCCCTCTGTGAGGGATGGGGATCGACGCGGGAGCGTGTGCGGTGCAGTTGGATTGGATGGGGGACCTTCCTCGGTCTCTGAGTCGCCCTGACCGGGGCGCGACGGTTGGCGCGAGAGCGGGGGATGCGAGTGGGGGGGGGCCGTCTTCGACAGCGAGTCTAGATGTTTCGTTGGATAGATCGCGGGAGTTTGTACTGAATGTGTCAAGGGTGAACGCATTGAGGCGCTCTTTGGGGGTACATTGTGATAATGCAACAAGAAGTCTCTTGACAAGCAGAGACTCTGTGGAAAAAAAGGCTCAGATCGAGGCTGCGTTCCGCGCTTGCAGGGATGCTTTTGTGGAGATATCCACGGCCTACATAAATTTATTGGAGAACAAGGCCTTCTCCCCCCCCCTTCAGAATCCGTCGCGGATATCGTCAGGAGTGTATTGGCTGTGACCCGGGGGGTTTCTGGTGTGGACTTATGCATGTCTGGTGGGCCCGATGGTACCGGCGGCGCCTCGGCGCGTTCATATGTGGAGGCCGCCTCCTCTGGGTGTGGAAATAGGATTACTCCGAAGTTGACCAGCTTAATCGTGACTCCTCGGGAGGACGCCTCTCAGAGATTTACTACCTCCGATGAGACAAAGATGGCGCTTCAGAGGGCCATCAAGCCCTCGGACTACAACCTAAAGGTAAAGAGAGTAACATCTGTTAAGAACAACGGTGTACGCGTTGAGGCGTTGTCGGTCGACTTGCCGAAGATAAGAGAGTCTGCCGAGCTCAGGGGTGCTGGTCTCAGGCTTGTGGAGGAGAAGAGAGCTAATCCTCGGCTGCTGATCAGGGGGGTGCTGTTTCGGCTGTCGGGCGATGACATCAGATCGGAACTCATCACCTTGAATTTGAGGAATTTTGACCCAGCCGAAGTAAAGGTCACTCATGTATATACGCCTACGAGGGACCGCGGGACCACGAGTTGTGTCATTGAAGTGACCCCCGGGATACGCTCCTTTCTGCTGGCGGAGGGGCAGGTATTTATCAGTTTTTCTGCCTGTAGTGTATCTGATTTTGTTAGAGTTCTGCAGTGCTATAAGTGCCTTGCCTTTGGTCATATGGCGAAGAACTGTAAGTTCGACCCGCTCTGTGGACATTGTGCGGGGGATCACGAGACACGTGCGTGCACCGCGGAGGAGGGGCCTCCTGTCTGCGGAAACTGTAGAAGATGGACTTCGCGGGATGAGCGACACTCGGCTCTTGACGGTGGCCGTTGCCCTGTGCTGCAGAGAAGAAGGGCGGAGAGAGTGAGAGCACTCAACAATGGCTAACAGAGCAAGCAACTATCTACAGATTTGCCATGTGAACGGTCAATTTCTTATCGCGCATCTGGACGAATTTCGTATGCATTTTGAGGGATCTCAGTATCACATCATATGTGTCGGAAACCTGGCTTAAGCCGAGTATCTCCGATGGCATGGTCTCATTGCGGGGGTTCCAGATTTACAGGTGTGACAGACTGGGCAGGGGCGGGGGTGGAGTGGCTTTCTATACGTCAAGCGCCCTTCGGATCAGAATTGTGGGGCAGTCGGTGGGTACATATGTGGGCGGGCCAGAGTTTATTATCGCGGAGGTCTCCCCAAGCTATAACTCCGAGGTGCTTCTTGCCGTGGTGTATCGGCCGCCTCACTGTGGTGGGCTCTCTGCTTTCTTCGATGTCTTTACTGATCTTTCGGTGAATTACAGGTACCTTGTTATCTTTGGTGACTAATGCGGATCTGTGCACCTCCACCTTTGACTCGGAGCAGGTCAGATCTTTTGTGGAAGCAACGGATCTCTACTTAGTTCCTTTCGCCCCGACTCATCACACTCGCACGTCGTCCACATTTCTGGATCTCTGCATCATAGATGATGCCGATAAACTGTTGTCATATGAACAGCATGATGTCTGTTTTCTGTCTGCCCACGACCTCATTGGTCAAATTGAATACATTAGCTTCGCCTATTATGCATGCCTTTTCCGGTTGCTTCACACAACCTGGATCAACATCTTAAACAGTTGATCAGTACGCACACCACGAGCTTTGACGACACCGTCTTTTATGAACTCACAACTGTCTTTCAAAGAATTGAATTTCAAGTCTTTGTCCATAGCTGAAATCACAGAAAACAGATTCCGAGCAACCGGTACAAACAATACATTTTCCATTCGACACGCCAGCCATTTTCCGTTGATATATGCTTCAAACTTTATCGTTCTTTTACCTAATGCTTTCATGGTAGATTTATTTCCAACGTACATTTTAGCCAGCGTTTTAAAATATTCAAATGATGTAAACCAGTCACCTCGATGCGTCACATGATCTGTAGCGCCGGAATCCACTATCCAAGAATCACTGTTCAATTTAGCTGTCATGCTCTCGCAAACAAAGGCTTCCTCTTGCGGTTTCTTTTGCTTCTTAGGACAGTTTTTACGGAAATGTCCTTTTTCCCCGCAGTTATGACATTTATAAAATGTTTTTCCTTTTCCTTTTTCATTAGACTTCCAATCAGTTGATTGTTTTGACTGTACTTTCTTACTGTCGCTGGTATCACTCCTAGTGTCGCCGCGATCATACTTCTTGCTTGTCTTACTGGCCAGCGCTGCCATCTGTTCTTCTTTATCGGCTCGATTCTTCCGACGTGCATCGTCAGAGGTCAGTACTTCTAGTAACTTTCCGAATGTTTGTTGATCTTCAGCCTTTGCCCACCATGCTTGACTAAGACTCTCGTACTCTTCCGGCAGCGTGTCCAGAAGTTTGACTACCAATGATGACTCATCTGGTTTTACATTTAGTTGCTGCATGCGCAAAACAAGACCCTCGAACTTAGCAATATGGGTCACCATATCATCAGACGAATTCATGGCAAAGTTAAAAAATTCTGATTGAACAGTATGCGATGCTTGCTTCGTCTGCTGTTCATAGATTGCATGCAATTTTAGCCACATATCCCGCGCTGTATCACACGAAACCAGAAGTGCCATTACCTTTGTGTCTAGCGTTTTTACGATAATTTGACCTGCAGCTCGATCGGGTTTGTCCCAGATTTTAATATTTTTTCGATACTGAGTTTGCTGTTCGTTCGTTACATTTTCAAGCAGTGGTGTCGGTTTTTTAATTTCACTGATGCTTACTTCATATGCGCCTTCAGTTCCGCGTAGTAAATTCTTTACCGTGGAAAATAGACATTAAAAATGTAAAAAAATCGCTAAGTATATTTTTTAACGTTTTTACCTCGAAAAAAATTGTATCAGATTGAAAAAAATGAGATCTTTGTATCATCTTAAATATATTTATAATATGACTTAAAAAAAAACTGTTGTTAAATTATAAAAAAACCTAAGTAGCATTATCTTTAATATATAACAATCACGCAAAATTATTTTGTAATTAATATACCCTAAAAAAAACTATTGTTTTAAATTAAACAATCAAAATCCAAGTTGTATTAACGTATACATGATTTTAAAAAATTTAATTTAATAAATTAAAAATATAGTATTACCAAAAAGAAGTGAAATCAAAATATTATTTCAAGTATATTTATTATAATTGAATTAAAAACTGAAAAAAATATACCTCGAAAAAAATATTATATTAAATTAAACAAATAAAATCCATGTTGTATTATTTTCAATGTATACGTAGAAAATAAAAACAAGAAATGCAATAGATAGCGTAATAAGGACCGCAGAAATTAAAAAGGGATTTCGATACAACAAGTAGCAAATTACGTGACAGAAAAATCAAAGATAGGAAGAAATCTCCAGCAGCAGCATACTTGGCGCGCCCGTTTTTTATATATAAACTCAAGGAAATATAATACATGCAATTCATGCTAAAAATACATTAATTATTAATAGTAAATATTTTATATAAATTAAAAAGATTAAATATAAACGTATTCACTAATAACTTTAAAATAATATGTATCACCGAATAATTTTGTAATGCCTTTAAATTTTATTTAAGATAATAGTAGCAATAATATATATATATTATTGCTACTATTATCTTAAATAATATTTAAAGGCATTACAAAATTATATATACAGTGCCCGCCAAAAGTTCCGGGCCACCTAAATAACTTTTGAATGGTTTGGAATATAGGATTGAAATTTATAGGAATACAATGGGATCACAAAGTCTATTATTTAACCACAAAAACACCCTTCTCCACATCTCCGGAGGGCGGGGGTAGGAGGGGGTCAAAAAACCTTAAATGGAAT